ACCTGTTTCCTTTCCTTTGCCTGCAACAGCGCATTCACAGGCATGGTTGAGGGGGTAGAGAGAAAAGGGGTGGTTGAGGGACGGGTGGGCACGGCTTGACCTGCTTTCCCCTGTAAACACGTAGCCATAATAAGATCTCTGTAATGCAACACATGCTTACGCATAGAGCTTCCTCCCTCTGGAGCTTCCTGCAGTGATAAAGCGATCTCTTGGGAGCGAGCACTTGCACTCAGTTTACACTTCCATTCACCCCATATGTTCCACACCCCCATTGTCCAGCACGGTGGGTGTGCCTCACATGAGATCCATGCGTCCAGTCCCCAACAACATCTAGGCTTCACCCTCACTGTTAGACTATTCTCCCTTCATTCTATTAGCCTACATCGTTTCATTGTCTTAGGAACTTATAAGCACCCCACTAGGGTGTATACACCCAAGTTGGGGGTTGGGTTCCCAACCTTGTTGGGTTCCCGAATTGGTTGGGCTCCCAATTATTGGAACCCCCAATAATCCCAACCAAGATTATTGGACCCACCAATAATCTTGGCTAGGATTATTGGACCCCCAATAAGTTGGCCAACTCAACTTATTGGGGTCACCAATAATCGTGGTCACCTCCCAACCAAAACCCCCCCCCTCCCTCCTACTCCTCACCTATGTATACCCACTCCTTTCCTAATACAATCATCACTTCAGATTCTCACATGGTTTCAGAGCTTATGGCTCACGCCTCTCCGTCGTTCGATCCCTAGCCACCTCGCGCCCAACGCGCCCCTCCCCGCGCCCTTAAGCGCCCCTCTCCCCGCCTTTAAGCGCCCCTCCCCGCGCCCTTCAGCGTCCTTCTCTGCGCCTTTAGGCGCCCCTCCCCGCACCCATAAGCGCCCCTCCCCGCGCCCATAAGGGCCCCTCCCCGCGCCCACAAGCGCCCCTCTCCGCGCCTTTACGCGCCCCTCCCTGCGCCCTTCAGCGTCCTTCTCTGCGCCTTTAGGCGCCCCTCCCCGCGCCCATAAGCGCCCCTCCCCGCGCCCATAAGGGCCCCTCCCCGCTCCCACAAGCGCCCCTCCCTGCGCCCTTAAGCGCCTCTCCTCACGCCCTTAAGCGCTGCATTTTCGCGCGACGCTCCGGCCGCATTTCGACGCGGTGCTCGGCCGCATTTCAACGCGGCGCTCGGCCGCATTTCGGCGCGGCGCTCCGGCCGCATTTCGACGCGGCGCTCGGCCGCATTTCGGCGCGGCGCTCGGCCGCATTTCGGCGCGGCGCTCGGCCGCATTTCGGCGCGGCGCTCGGCCGCATTTCGGCGCGGCGCCCGGCCGCATTTCGGTGCGGCGCTCGGCCGCATTTCGGCGCGGCGCCCGGCCGCATTTCGGCGCGGCGCTCGTCTGCATTTCGGCGTCCGGTCCTCACCATCTGCGCCGGCCGTCGCCTTTCGCATCGGCGCCCGAAGAAGGCTACGGCGACTTAAGAGCTGCGCTCCGCGCACCCGTCTTCTTCCTCCCCCCCCCCTTCCTCCCTCCCCTCCTCCCCTCCCTCTCTCCCCCCCTCCCCTCTCCTCCTCTCCTCCTTCCCCACGAACAGCAGCAGCCGCATCCTTCCTCAATCAAACGCAGCAGCCGCATCAGCAACCGCAACCGCACCCTCCACCGGCCTTCACCTCCTCCCCACTCCCTTCATCAGCCGCAGCAGCCACATCTCCCCCCCTCCACCTCCCCCTACTCCCCTTCCTCCCCCCACCAGCTGCAGCAGCCGCCTCATCTCCAGCAGCCGCACCATCAGCAGCAGCAGCCGTATTTCCCCCCCCTCCCCTCCCTCCTCCTTCTCCCCTCTCCACTCATCCCCAGCAGCAACAGCACCAGCATCCGCAATCGCACCATGACCACCGAAACACTCGCCGTCGACATCTCCACCATCGACGTCCTCGAGCTCATCGACGACGCCGTCCTGTCAACTGGGCTACCTTTGCCCAGAGCCTTACCAATGTCTTCGGATCCGCTATCATCAACGACTACTGCCTCCTTGACATTCTCCTTGGCAATGATGCAGGGTAGCCCCCCGAATGTCCCGCTGATGTCTCCCCTGCACCTCCCGCCCCACCCCCGGCCCCCTCGGGACCGGCCCCCACCAAGCCCTCTCCACTGGTCTACACCGACGACCCTGATCGCTGGGCTCGCGTGCAACACCAATATGACAAGGACTTTGCGGAGTACACTCTCCTCCATCACGCGTATGACGCAGAGCAAGCTGCGCACGACGCCGCCAACACACTCCTCCAACAGCACAAGGACGCCACGGCTAAGTATGCTGACGACTTTCGTGAGTACCGTCGTCGCCACTCTGCCTGGAACGTTGCCAACCGCAAATGTCTCGCTATCCTGTCTGCATGCGTTCCTTCCTCCCTCAAACGCGAAATTACCCCCTCCTCCGCTCCCGAGTTCTGGAAAGAGCTATGTGCCACCTATGACCTCCAGGACACCAACTCTCTCCTAGCGCTCCACCGCGCCTTCCTCGACATCAACCTTGACTCCTGCCCCAACGCCCTCTCCTTCACGCGCCGCCTCCTCACCACTGCCAAACGCCTTGCCGATCGTCGCTCTCCCCTTCCCGACTCCCTCATCGTTTGCCGCCTCCTCGACGACCTCACCCCCTTGTATGAGGCCCGTCGCGTGGCGTTCAATGAGGTCCACGCCAGCTTCCCACCCGACTCCGCCTATGTAGCCGCATGGATTCTGAAAACTGAAGCGGAGCTCCTCCGCCAGTCTCCTCCAACGGCTCATGCTGCCCAAGCAAAAGGAGGACGTGGTGCTGGCCGTGGCGGTACTTCGGCGGGCCCATCATCTTCGAGCCGGGAGATTATCACGAAGCTATGACATGCCCCGACCACCCTCATTGGGGCAAGGCAGTCCTCAAAGAGAACGAGGCCTTTGTCCGCAACGGCACCTTCATCGACGTACCCCGCCCTCTCAACCACAACGTGGTCAAAGGCAAATGGGTATTTCGGGTCAAGCTCCTCCCTGGCGACGACCCGGTCTATAAGGCCCGCTACTGCGCCAAAGGATTTACGCAGCGGTACGGCCATGACTTCCTTGACACGTACTCGCCGACCGCCACTCCCCCTGTCGTCCGCGTGTTCTTGGACTTCGTTGGCCGGCGCGGCATGATCCTGCACTCGATGGATGTCACCACGGCATTTCTCCAAGGTGAACTCCATGAGCGCATCTTCATGGAGCGTCCCGAGGGCTGGCACCTCCCTTTCCCTCCCAACACCGTTTGGGAACTTCGCCGCCCGGTCTACGGCCTCAAGCAAGCTCCTCGGGAATGGCATGCCAAGCTCTCGAGCACTCTCCGTGCTCTTGGTTTTCGCCCTTCCCAGGCTTCCTCCTGCCTCTTCCTGCGCACCTCCCCCTCCCCCTTCTATATCCTCGTCTACGTCGACGACATGCTTCTTGCTGCTGACAACGAAGCAGACCTACAACAGGTCAAGGATGAGCTGCAGAAGCGCCTCCTCTGCAAGGACCTGGGGGAGGTCCGCAACTACCTCGGGATGGAGATTTCTCGCGATCGTACGGCCAGGACCATCTCCCTCTCTCAGGCATTCTACCTCGAGAAGGTCCTTGAACGCTTCGAGATGGCCACGGCCAAACCCGTCTCCACACCCCTCCAAGTCGGCCACCAGCTCTCGCCGACAACCACCCACGGTTCCTCCACCAGTCCTTACGCTGAGCTGGTCGGGTCCCTGATGTACGCCATGATGTGCACTCGCCCCGACCTCGCCTACCCTATCAGTGTCCTGGCGCGCTTTGTCGGCGCTGGCAAACACACTCCCAAGCACTGGCAAGCGGCCAAGCGCGTTCTCCGCTACATCAAAGGCACCAAGGACTATGTCCTCACCTTGGGCGGCCCCACCCCTCCTCAGCTCACTGGCTACAGCGACTCCTCTTGGGCAGATTCTCAGCCCGATCGTCGCAGCTCACAGGGGTATGGTTTCTCCCTCGGGAGCGGCCTCATTTCCTGGCGCTCCACCCGCTCCTCCTCGATCGCTCTCTCCTCCTGCGAAGCAGAGCTCTACGCCATCACCATGGCGGCCCAGGAGGCGCGGTGGCTCAGCTTCCTCCTCGCTGAGCTGGATGCTCCCCAGCCCTGTCCCACCATCTGGTGCGACAATGCCAGTACTATCCACCTCACAAAGGAAGCCGTTTTCCATGGTCGCTCCAAACACATCGAGCTCCGACACTACTTCGTTCGTGAGCTCGTCCAGGCTGGACACCTCACCGTGCGCAAGATTGACTCTTCAGCCAACCTTGCCGACATCTTCACCAAGGCCCTCCCTCGTCGTCCCCATGCGGCTCTCCTTCGCCTTCTGGGTCTTGCCCCTCCCTCACAGGGGACTACCTGATTCAGGGGTTGCTTCTCCTCCCCTTCCCAAGACTTATGGCACTCTGTAGGCTAAGGGGTTGTGTTAGACTATTCTCCCTTCATTCTATTAGCCTACATCGTTTCATTGTCTTAGGAACTTATAAGCACCCCACTAGGGTGTATACACCCAAGTTGGGGGTTGGGTTCCCAACCTTGTTGGGTTCCCAAATTGGTTGGGCTCCCAATTATTGGAACCCCCAATAATCCCAACCAAGATTATTGGACCCACCAATAATCTTGGCTAGGATTATTGGACCCCCAATAAGTTGGCCAACTCAACTTATTGGGGTCACCAATAATCGTGGTCACCTCCCAACCAAAACCCCCCCCCTCCCTCCTACTCCTCACCTATGTATACCCACTCCTTTCCTAATACAATCATCACTTCAGATTCTCACACTCACATGATGCTACACAACAGCAAGTGCTGCACTCTCACGCGGGCTACACTTGTACGATGCACGTATGCCGCGAAACCGCAATGTCACACAGATTGTACTTGCACAAGTGTAACACATGAGAAACGTTCTAATCCACACAGGAAAAGCCCACTCACACAGAAAGCCCACTCTCACAGAAAGCCCACTCACACACGGGTTGCGCTCGAGGTAGAGAGTGACGAGCGAGGCTTTGGGCCCCTCCAAGGCGGCCATGAGCTGAGTGAGGGACTCGATGCGGTTGTCGTTCAGCCACAGGTCCTCCAGCCTGCCATGTGGGGTGTAAGGGTCGATGCAGAGAGGAGGATGAGCGCTGATGCAGAGAGGAGGATGAGCGGCGATAACAAGTGGAGTTTCAGGGCCGCTCAAGGAAGCCACGAGGTGAGCCAGCGACTCCATGCGACTGTCGTTGAGCAAGAGGTCCTCCTGCCTGCAGTGTTTGGCAGTGCGGGTAGATGCAAGGCGGTAGGAGGGAGGGAGGGAGGGAGGGAGGGCGGGAGGGAGGGAGGGAGGGGGGGAGGGAGGGAGGGAGGGAGGGAGGGAGGGAGGGAGGGAGGGAGGGAGGGATTGGGGAAGGGACAGAGTGGGGAGCAAGCTCAGTGATTAGTGAGCGTATGCAGCCCCAGCGCAAGTCATCAAGGCATACCGATTGAGTGAAGAAAACGTACCTGGTGAGCTAACCCGCCACGGCACCCGCCCCTGCACCCGCCACTGCACCCGCCCCTGCACCCGCCCCTGCACCCACCACTGCACCCGGGTGATGGCGTTGGCAGCGAGTAGACCACGAGAACGCATCTGGTGACCAGAGACTAGGGACTAGCGACCAGAGACGGACATACTTGGTGAGAGTGTCCAGCCCTTGCACGTGAGCGATGGCGTTGGCAGCGAGGTCCAGAATGCGCAGGTTGGTGAGCACCTCCAGCCCCTCCATGGTGGCGATGCCGTTGTTGCTCAGGTACAGCTCCTGTAGGCGGGTGCATGCCTGGTGGGAAAGCGGGGGTGAGGTGGAGGAGGAGGAGAGATGGAGGAAGAGAGTGGGATGAATGAGAGCCTCTAGTCCCTCCATGGTGCCGTGCACACGCGTGCACCCTGGTGGGCGCGATGATTTGAGTGAGAAGGGGGGGGGGGGGGGGGAGGGGGGTTTGAATGGAGAAAACGCTGGTGCGCGGACACTCACGCTCCGCGGTGCCGTTGTTGGTGAGGTACGGCTCCTGCAGATTTTTTTTTTATTTTTTTTTTGGGCTTTAAGGAGATCCCAGGAGGAAACCAGGCCCCCTTGGCTCCTGCAGATGTGAGCACGACTGCAAGGTAAGCAGCAGTGGGTGGCACGACTGCAAGGTAAGCAGCAGTGGGTGGCACGACTGCAAGGTAAGCAGCAGTGGGTGGCACGGCTGCAAGGTAAGCAGCAGTGGGTGGCACGACTGCAAGGTAAGCAGCAGTGGGTGGCACGACTGCAAGGTAAGCAGCAGTGGGTGGCACGACTGCAAGGTAAGCAGCAGTGGGTGGCACGACTGCAAGGTAAGCAGCAGTGGGTGGCACGAATGCAAGGTAAGCAGCAGTGGGTGGCACGAATGCAAGGTAAGCAGCAGTGGGTGAGAGGGACGCGCGACATAGATGCCAGTGAGACGCTCTACATGGTGCTGCTACCAGTGCGGTGCGGATCAGATACAGCCGGGCACTGCATGGTGCTGCGACTCTATGATACCGGCGCTGCCCAGTCAGACTGAGCCCTGCAGACCCGCCCGCCCGCCCGGCCGCGCGCACAAGAGGGAGGGCAGGAAATGGGAGCGGAGAGCGGCGGGAAGTGAATGGGCGGGCGGGAGGCGTGAAGAGATCACAGCGAGTGAGCTGTTGGAACGAGGTGCGGTTGGAACGAGGTGCGGTTGGAACGAGGTGCGGTTGGAACGAGGTGCTGTTGGAACGAGGTGAACTGGAAAGAGAGTGGAGGGGGGAGAGGGAACTGAGAGTGCGCAGGGGGAAGTGAGAGGAGGCATGAAAGGCACAAAGAAAAGAGAGCCAACCGACATGATTGCTGATCACGCAACAAGTACACTGGCAGGCACCCTTAAAGCCCAATCCCTCCCTGAACTCCCTGAACTCCCTGAACTCCCTGAACTCCCTGAACTCCCTGAACTCCCTGAACTCCCTGAACTCCCTGAACTCCCTGAACTCCCTGAACTCCCTGAACTCCCTGAACTCCCTGAACTCCCTGAACTCCCTGAACTCCCTGAACTCCCTGAACTCCCTGAACTCCCTGAACTCCCTGAACTCCCTGAACTCCCTGAACTCCCTGAACTCCCTGAACTCCCTGAACTCCCTGAACTCCCCTGAACTCCCTGAACTCCCTGAACTCCCTGAACTCCCTGAACTCCCTGAACTCCCTGAACTCCCTGCCCCTGAACTCCCTGAACTCCCTGAACTCCCTGAACTCCCTGAACTCCCTGAACTCCCTGAACTCCCTGAACTCCCTGAACTCCCTGAACTCCCTGAACTCCCTGAACTCCCTGAACTCCCTGAACTCCCTGAACTCCCTGAACTCCCTGAACTCCCTGAACTCCCTGAACTCCCTGAACTCCCTGAACTCCCTGAACTCCCTGAACTCCCTGAACTCCCTGAACTCCCTGAACTCCCTGAACTCCCTGAACTCCCTGAACTCCCTGAACTCCCTGAACTCCCTGAACTCCCTGAACTCCCTGAACTCCCTGAACTCCCTGAACTCCCTGAACTCCCCTGAACTCCCTGAACTCCCTGAACTCCCTTGAACTCCCTGAACTCCCTGAACTCCCTGAACTCCCTGAACTCCCTGAACTCCCTGAACTCCCTGAACTCCCTGAACTCCCTGAACTCCCTGAACTCCCTGAACTCCCTGAACTCCCTGAACTCCCTGAACTCCCTGAACTCCCTGAACTCCCTGAACTCCCTGAACTCCCTGAACTCCCTGAACTCCCTGAACTCCCTGAACTCCCTGAACTCCCTGAACTCCCTGAACTCCCTGAACTCCCTGAACTCCCTGAACTCCCTGAACTCCCTGAACTCCCTGAACTCCCTGAACTCCCTGAACTCCCTGAACTCCCTGAACTCCCTGAACTCCCTGAACTCCCTGAACCCTCCCCTGAACCCTCCCCTGAACTCCCTGAACTCCCTGAACTCCCTGAACTCCCTGAACTCCCTGAACTCCCTGAACTCCCTGAACTCCCTGAACTCCCTGAACTCCCTGAACTCCCTGAACTCCCTGAACTCCCTGAACTCCCTGAACTCCCTGAACTCCCTGAACTCCCAGTATCCGCACTGATTTTGAGCAGCGCTGCCAGCCCCTTCCTTCTATATTGTGCTCACCCTGCTCTAACCTGCGCACTCGCGCCCTTACCACTCTTGCGCCTATCTCAACCGCACCTGAAAGCCCAGCATGCTGGTGAGTCGGTTGCTCTGCACGCTGATCTTCACCAGCGATGTGAGCCCCGCCACGCGCACCTCCTTGATCTTATTGCGCCCCACCCACAACTCCTCCAGCGCTGACAAGTGCGCGAGATTCTCCATCTCCTGCGAGACGCGTGTCGTGAGAGCAGGGGCAGGGGGAGGGCAGGGGCACGGGGAGGGCAGGGGCACGGAAAGGGCAGGGGCACGGGGAGGGCAGGGGCACGGGGAGGGCAGGGGCACGGGGAGGGCAGGGGCACGGGGAGGGCAGGGGCACGGGGAGGGCAGGGGCATGGGGAGGGCAGGGGCATGGGGAGGGCAGGGGCATGGGGAGGGCAGGGGCATGGGGAGGGCAGGGGCATGGGGAGAGCAGAAGCATGAGATAGGGCTGAGTGCTGCGAGCCCATCCACCCCATCTCATCCCATCTCACCCCATCTCATCCCATCTCACCCCATCTCATCCCATCTCACCCCATCTCATCCCATCTCATCCCATCTCACCCCATCTCATCCCATCTCATCCCATCTCAACCCATGTTCACCAGCTCACCCGGATCTTGTTGGACCCCAGCTCCAGCAGTCTGAGCTGCGAGAACCCATCGAGGGCCTCAATCGTGCCAATGCGGTTGTTGGCCAGGTACAGCTCGCGCACGCAGGCAGGGGCGCTAGCGAGGGGCGCCATGGCGTGGATGTGATTGTAGGAGAGGTCGAGGAGCGTGAGGGCCGGCAGGGACGAGACGCACGGGACCTTCTTGAGAAGGTTATCTCGCAGGACGAGGTCCTGCGGACGGTGCGTTTAAAAGAGAGGTGGGGGAGAGTGGAACCGGAGGGAGATGAGAGGCAGCGCACTTGCGTTACAAGGTTGCCTTGCAGCACGACTTCCTGAGGGGATGGGGGGAGAGGGGGGGTAAGAGAGGTGCCAGGGCGAGGACGTCGCTATGAGGCGATGAGGCGATGAGGCGATGGGACGCGGAATACGCGCTTCAAAGGCTGTCTCTCGGACGGAGCTTCTGAGGGCGTACGGCGAGGGAGGATGAGAGGAGGAGAGGGGAACAGGAAAATGGCCACAATGCGCTCGCAAGGAGGATGATCTTACTTTGAGTAACGTCAGCCGAGTCAGCTCTTTCAAACCCGCTACAGCCGCATCCGTTAAAAGGTTTTGCCGAAATGAGATCTTCTCCAGCCGCTCGAGGCCGCCGATCCGGGGGTCCAGCGCAGCGAGGCGGTTGGTGGTGAGGTCCAGATCGGTGAGAGTGGGTGGTAGCGGGATGCCGGCGAGGTCCTTGAGCTGGTTACCAGTGAGGTCCAGCACGTCGCCTTCGTCCGACAGGTACATGTTCAGCTGCGACGCGCGGTCATCGGGAGTGTCGTCGTCGCCAGGATTGGTATCGCCAGTGGCGTCGCCAGCGACGTCGTCGTTCGGCAGCGACGCGTCGTGAGTGCGACGGGCGTCGCCGTCGTCGCCGCCGCCGTAGGCGTCGTTATCCACCATATCGGAATGTCGGAGCTACGACGGCGCGGAATGCGCTGAAGTGACTAACGAGTCGACTCGAATGTCGCGACGCGGAATGCACACAGAAGAAGCCGCGGTGCTGTGGACCCGAAGAACGCGGTTCAAGGCGGTGCCGTGAACGCGGCGGAAACAGAACGCCACAAGAAGATGGCGCGATCGGTACAAGGTCGTTGCGGACAACGAATAAATCGTACGGCGATCGGCTAGCCTGCGACTATGCTGCAACAGAGAACGAGTGCAGCCAGGCAGTGGGTGGCAGGTAAGAGGAGAACAAAAATGGATTTGGTGAGAACATTTCTTGTAAAGGCTGTCAGGTTTGGAACATGCTCAAATATGTATGAAGTATCGGAGATTGAAATATCGAGTTTTTTCGGCCTGAAATTGCCCCGCGACCTCTTGGAGGTCGATGAGTTTCCTAAACAAGGTAACCAATTCTCGTCAGAGCATTTTTTCCTCTTCGCTCTGTAACCACCGTGCTTCGCCTTGCTTCAGCTTCTTCGCATGCTCGCTCCATCTTTCCCTCCCATTTCCCGTCCCCCTCACGCCACCTCCCTTGCTGGACCAGCAACATGCCGTCCGAATCTCGGGCTGTTTCTGCTCGATACGAGGAGGGTCGTTCAATATGACGATACTTGACTGATAGAGGCCGTTCAACAAACCGCCGCCATCCGTTGCGCTGGCACCTCACGGGCGTGAGCGCGGGGGCGCGATGACCATGCATTCGAATCCCGTCACGCCGACGCACGCGGCCCCGCGCGTGCGGACCGGGGGGGAAGCGGCGGTCACCGGGAGAGGTCCGTCAGAACAAGGCGCGTCCCTCGCGGCTGTTGTACGCATCACTAGGTGTTTTTTTCGTAACGAGTTCGCGATCGCAAAGGAGAAAGACTCGCTTTCTGTTGACGTCGCGAAAACTCATCGGCCAACGAGTTTCGCAGCAGCAGCAGCAGCAGCAGCAGCACCAGCAGCAGCAGCAGCAGCAGCAACAGCATGAGGGCCTCACGGCCGCTCGCGTGTAACCTGAAATTCCCCGCGGGCTCAACCAGCGGCGACGGTCGTCGTCGTTATCATTGTGGCGGCGGCCAGCGAGGCGCCGATGATGGCGACGGCAACGAATCTCGCCCACGTTGTCGCCCCCGTGCCCACCGTTATCGTTATCGCGGCGGTCTGACAGCTGTCATCATCGTCGCCATGAGTGCGTCGCTCGCCGTGGCGGCTCTCCTCCTCTCCTCGCCGTCGTTCGCCGCTTCGTCCCCCATCCGCTCCCCGCGCACCACCTCCCGGAGACTGAGGCTCCCGCGCTTCCCACATTCTGTTCGTCCCGACGACTGCCACCAGCACGGCCGCCCGCAGCTCCGCGGGAAAGGTGCCGCCACGCGCGCTGACGGGTCAGCTGGGATTACCCCACACACTCAGCCCACCGCCGCCGCCACCGCCACCGCCGTCGCTGGTGCCTCCGGGGATGGCGATGGCGGGACGAGAGAGAGGGAGCTGTCGGGGGTGCGCGGACGGGAGGTGGCGGAGCGACGGGCGGGCAGGCTGCAGGTGAAGGCGCGGGAAGCAGTAGCGCGCGTGGCGACTGGCAGGCGCGCAGCTGCTGTGGCGCTCTCCCTGGCGGCGCAGCTGCAGATGGACGCGCGGCCAGAGGGGAGAGGCGTGGGGGGGACGCACGACGCGGCTGCAGTAGACGCGGCTGCAGTAGACGCGGCTGCAGTAGACGCGGCTGCAGTAGACGCGGCTGCAGTAGACGCGGCTGCAGTAGACGCGGCTGCAGTAGACGCGGCTGCAGTAGACGCGGCTGGGCACAAGCTGGCACGCGACTGCGACGAGCAGGTGAGAGCAGCCCGTGGGGGGGCGCGGGTGGGTGGGTGGGGGGGAGGGGGGAGCGGGGGGACTTGGGGCGGTGCGGTCCAAGTGGGGAACGTGGGGAACATGGGGAATGTGGTCCCTCAGGCGCTCAGTCCAGGAAGGACGCGCTACTTCCACATGCCGCCGTACCTGTGCTCTGCGCCGTGCGCCATCACCCTGATTGCTTCCCATTCCAATGTACCCTCAGCCTTAGTGCTGTGCGCGCCTTAGTGCTGTGCGCGCCTTAGTGCTGTGCGCGCCTTAGTGCTGTGCGCGCCTTAGTGCTGTGCGCGCCTTAGTGCTGTGCGCGCCTTAGTGCTGTGCGCGCCTTAGTGCTGTGCGCGCCTTAGTGCTGTGCGCGCCTTAGTGCTGTGCGCGCCTTAGTGCTGTGCGCGCCTTAGTGCTGTGCGCGCCTTAGTGCTGTGCGCGCCTTAGTGCTGTGCGCGCCTTAGTGCTGTGCGCGCCTTAGTGCTGTGCGCGCCTTAGTGCTGTGCGCGCCTTAGTGCTGTGCGCGCCTTAGTGCTGTGCGCGCCTTAGTGCTGTGCGCGCCTTAGTGCTGTGCGCGCCTTAGTGCTGTGCGCGCCTTAGTGCTGTGCGCGCCTTAGTGCTGTGCGCGCCTTAGTGCTGTGCGCGCCTTAGTGCTGTGCGCGCCTTAGTGCTGTGCGCGCCTTAGTGCTGTGCCTTAGTGCTGTGCGCGCCTTAGTGCTGTGCGCGCCTTAGTGCTGTGCGCGCCTTAGTGCTGTGCGCGCCTTAGTGCTGTGCGCGCCTTAGTGCTGTGCGCGCCTTAGTGCTGTGCGCGCCTTAGTGCTGTGCGCGCCTTAGTGCTGTGCGCGCCTTAGTGCTGTGCGCGCCTTAGTGCTGTGCGCGCCTTAGTGCTGTGCGCGCCTTAGTGCTGTGCGCGCCTTAGTGCTGTGCGCGCCTTAGTGCTGTGCGCGCCTTAGTGCTGTGCGCGCCTTAGTGCTGTGCGCGCCTTAGTGCTGTGCGCGCCTTAGTGCTGTGCGCGCCTTAGTGCTGTGCGCGCCGTGCAGTGTGGAGTGCAGTGTGCCGTGCAGTGTGGAGTGCAGTGTGCCGTGCAGTGTGGAGTGCAGTGTGCCGTGCAGTGTGGAGTGCAGTGTGCCGTGCAGTGTGGAGTGCAGTGTGCCGTGCAGTGTGGAGTGCAGTGTGCCGTGCAGTGTGGAGTGCAGTGTGCCGTGCAGTGTGGAGTGCAGTGTGCCGTGCAGTGTGGAGTGCAGTGTGCCGTGCTCTGTGCCGTGCTCTGTGCCGTGCTCTGTGCCGTGCCCTGCTGTGTATGCCATTGTTTATGCCGCAGATGCGGGTGGCGTGTGTCATTGTGGGCTTGGCAGAGGCCATGCTGGCGAGGGGGGGCGGCGAGCATGTGCGCCTGGGGACTTCCGCACCTCGAGCGCATCCATCTCGCCAACGTGGCCACGCTCGCCCGTGACTGTGCAGGGGTTAATGCATGCTTGTTTTGTGTGAGATGCCGTGCGGTGCGGTGTGCGGCAGATGCGGGGGGCGGGTGCGAGTCTGGGCAAGGCGGAGGCGATGATGGCGAGGGGGGGACGCGACGCCCTGCATGTGGCGCGCATCCATCTCGCCACGGCGGCCACGCTCGCCCGTGACTGCGCCGAGGGCTTCCACCTCGTTGCGCCGGGCAGCTCCTCCCATGCGCGCGTGCGCGCCCTGCAGGTCAGTGCGTGCGCGCAGCAGCCATGCAGCTTCTGTGCAGGTCGCCTACTTGTTTGCTGCCCTCGCTGTCACTCTGCTTTCGTCGCACCGGTCGTGAGTCACATGGCCCCTCTGCACGAGCCATGCAATGGCATCAGTCGGTCGCTGCAATGCGTGGGCTGTGGGCGGCAGGAGGCAGCAGGGGAGGCGCGGAGGGCGGTGATGGAGGCGCAGCAGCGAGCAGCAGAGGTGGCGGCGATGGGTGCAGCAGCAGGTGGCGCCTCTATCGGTGCAGCAACCAGCGACCCAGCGATTATTGCTGCCACTGGGGAGCCGCTCACCATTGCAGCAGCTGGTGACGCGGTCGTGTCAGCAAGCGGTGCCCCTCTCTTTGTTCCACCACCTGGCGCCTCTACCGTGATTTCAGCACGTGGTGGTCGTCCCATGGCTGCAGCAGCACGAGACCTCCCCATCACTGTAGCAGGTGGTGCCCCGGTCATCGCGCCCATGGTCACCGTGGCTCAGGACGGCTCTGGGGACTTCCGCACCGTGCAGGTGCGTGCTGCCGTGTGGTGAGCAGTGGGGTTGGTGAGAAAGGAAGAAAAGAGAGGAGAACGAGGGTTAGAGGTGGAAGGAGAAGGGGAGAGTGGAGGTGTTAGGTTTGAAAGGGGGCGGTGATGTGAGAGAATGGTTCATTCAGACGGCTCAACGGAATACGGATACAGCGAAGCCAACTGTTGACCCTTTTTTTGGAATTCTCTGCTGTCACGTCTTCCATCTCTCTCCCCCCACCCCTCCAGGAGGCCATCGACGCCTATCCGTCGGACCTCACTGGTCGCTACGTGGTGTTAGTGAGCCTGCCTGGGCATGTGCCGCGACAAGGTGCGTGTGGCTTGTCTTGTGAGTCGACACTTAGAAGCAAGCGCTCGCTCTCGCTTTCACCCCTTCCTTTCATCAGGAGGCCATTGACGCGTATCCGTCGCACCTGGAGGGGCGCTACGCGGTGTTCATCCGGCCGGGCGTGTACCGGGAGAAGGTGCGCGTTGGCGAGCGCTGTGAGAACGTGACGCTGGTGGGGCTCAACGCCTCCTCCACCATCATCTCGTTCGACGACAACGGCGCTGCTGGCACCACGACTTTCGACACCGCAACCGTTGGTGAGGGTCTCTCTCTCCCAGAGGTGAGCCGACTCAAAAGGCACTTGAAATGATGGTATGGACTTAAAGCTCACCTGGTGAGGCTCATAGTGCTCAGCACGGTCATCTGCTTCGATGACAGCGGCGCCCCTGGCTCGAGCACCTTTGGCACTGCCTCCGATGGTCGGATGCACTCCCGCCTCTCCTTGCAGCTTCTCCTTGCTGCCTCTCCCTACTGCCTCTTCTTGCTCCCTTCTCCGTACCGCTCCTTCTGTTCACTAGTACCTTTGACACCGCCACTGTTTGTGACATGCGCGCTCTGCCCCTCCCTGCCCCTCCCTGCCCCTCCCTCCGTCTCTCTGCGGCATCTGGTGCGGCTGCCTTTCCTCACTACTTCGCATTACTCCCTCCGCATCCCTCTCCGCGCCTCCTCCATTTCGTTTTGGACTATCACGCCTTACTCGTCCCCACCCGAGATCCCCCTCGCCTCACCCCACTCAGCGGTCGACGCGTCTGGCTTTGCGGCGGTGGGCATTCGCTTTGAGAACACCGCAGGGCCGGAGGGCGAGCAGGCAGTGGCGTTGAGGCAGACGGGGGATAACGCGGCCTTCTACAAGTGCCACTTCATCGGCTGGCAGGTGGGCTTTAGGTTTGGATGGCAGGTGTGGTGTGAGGAGCCTTGCAGTGGCGGTGCGGCAGACGGGCGACAATGCGGCCTTGTACAAGGATCGCAGGTGTGCGCTGGGTCAGGATGGGAAGTATGGTGTGAGGAGCCGTGCGAGCAGCATGCAAGCAGCAGAGGGGGAAAAATGGGGCCTTGTTTAAGTGCCACGTCATTGGCTGGCAGGTGTGGTTTGGGGTGGCAGGTATGCAGCTCAAGGGTGTCTGTCTCCACCACAGCATGTGTGCTCGCCACCACCCCGCGTCCTCTCTTGGCGCACTCCCTCTGTCACGCTTCCCTCACACAGTTATCTTCGACTAAACCCATCAATGGGCCATCAATGGTCCCTCTCCCCCTTTCATCTCGTCTCGTTTCCACTCCCCACCCCTCACCCCTGCCCCCTGTCCCCGGCCCATGAGGACACCCTGTGTGTGCAGCAGGGCGGGCAGTCCCCCCCAACTGTTCCATGAATAGACTTCTACGCTCCTTCAAGTGCCCTCCCACCCCTCCTCTCCCCCCGTCAATCCCCCCCCTGCCCACAGGATACTCTGTGCATGCACGGCAGACGGCAGTTTTACTGCAACTGCCTCGTGAACGGATTTTCAATGCGGCTCAGGGATTGACTTTGCACCTCTCCCTCTCCCCCCCCAACTCCTCATACCCCTCCCAACCCCCCCTTTCCCCCTCCCTACAGGACACTCTGTTCGTGCACAGCGGCCAGCAGCCTTCCCTTTAGGACATGTGCGGGGCGGCCGTGCTCGACAAGTGTGTGCGTGCTCAACATGTGCGGGGCGCCCACGCCAATGCCCCTCCCACACCCCGCCCTCGTCCCTCGCTCCCTCTCTGATCTCTTCCACCCACTCCCCACCATCCCGCCCCGCTCATGCTGCAGGACACGCTGTATGTGCACAGCGGGCGGCAGTACTACCGCAACTGCTACGTGAACGGGTCGGTGGACTTCATCTTTGGCAATGGAGCGGCCGTGCTCGACCGCTGCGTGCTGCACATGCGGGCGCACGCCAACGCGCCACTCACGGCGTCGAAGCGGGAGAGTGAAGACGAGCCGACAGGCATTGTCATCCTCAACTCGCGCGTCAAGGGGGACCTCGCCAATCAGACGTTCCTGGGCCGGCCGTGGGGGAAGTATGCCCGTGTGGCGGTTATCAACACCACCATCACTGATGTGGTAGGTCTCCCTGCTCTCCCCTCCCATTCCTCTCCTCTCCTGTCCCTCCCATACCCCCTTCTTCCTCTCCTCCCCCCCCCCGCCCCCTTTCAGTCTCTTGCTATCTTTATCTCTGCATCTCTCTCTCTCACAGGTATAGCCAAGCCAACCATATAGTGTACAGTTGCTACAAATTTGTCCACAGAGCACCGGCCCGGCTCACCCCAAGCCTTTCTTGCATCTCTCTTGCCTCGCACCCTGCTCTCCAGCTTAACACAGACGGCTGGCTGGATTGGAATGGGGACGTATACGACACCACCACTTATATCGAGTACAACAATAGTGGGCCGGGGGCGGCGGGCCCGCGCATAGAGTGGGCGCGGCCGGGGATTGTGAGCGACCCCTCGCTCGTCGCCATGTACTACCCTGAAACGTTCCTGGCGCCCTTTGCCACTATCATGGACCTCATTCCCCTTGACTGGGTCTGACTGTCCTCACGATTGTTTCCTGCCTCGAGCAACTGCTTGTCGTGTGGAGAGCCGTGGTCCGAGTGGAGTCGAATGAGGCAGCTTGGGGGGCGCACTGACTTACCAGCACTAGCACCCGCCGACCACCCCACTCCTCCACTGACTTCCCTTCTCCGACCGGGTCCACATTTTGTCCATCCTTTTGTTCCTTGGGCCGCAGACTTGCCACAGCACCGGCAACCGCCCATTCCTCTTGCCAGGGAACCGGATGTACCACCCTGTCAAACATATCTATGTATGTTGTTATAGACTATACAGGGTTGTGCCTTAGGGAATACAACCCGCTAGGTTATATTCCCTTGTATGTCATTGTTCTAGTCATTCATTAACTTTGATATGGTATCATGAGTAGGTTAGGTCCCCCCCCCCACCGGTGCTTCCGCCATAGGTCCTAGCCGCCCCGTCGCCCTCCCGCCCGTGTGGGCCCGTCCCCTAGTGGCCCCCCATCACCTAGCGCCTAGCCGGCCCCGTCGTCTAGCCGGCCCCGTCGACTAGCCGGCCCCGTCGCCTAGCTGGCCCCGTCGCCTAGCCGGCCCCGTCGCCTAGCTGGCCCCGTCGCCTAGACTGCCCCGTAGCCTAAGCCAGCCCCATCGCCTAGCCGGCCCCGTCGCCCAGACGGCCCCGTCGCCCAGCCGGCCCCGTTGCCAAGTCGGCCCCGTCACCCAGCCGGCCCCGTCCCCTATCTAGCCCCGTCGCCCAGCCAGCCCTGTCGCCTAGCCGGCCCCGTCGCCCAGCCGGCCCCGTCGCCTAGCCGGCCCCGTCGCCCAGCCGGCCCCGTCGCCCACCTGGCCCCGTCGCCCTGCCGGCCCCGCCGCCTAGCGGGCCCCGTCACCTAGCCGCCTAGCCGGCCCCGTCGCCTCGCCTCTCGCGGCCTCGTCTCCCCGCCGCTACGCGGCCCCGTCTTCTAGCCGCCACTCGCCCCCTGTTGACCAGCCGCCGCGCGACCTACCCCACCTAGCTTCATCGGCCACTTTCCACCGCCCTGCACCGCACTGCACCGCCCCTGCACCGCACTGCACCGCCCCTGCACCGCACTGCACCTCACTCTACCGCAGTCTACCGCACTGCACCGCACAGCATCGTAAACCACTGCTTCCCGCCGCACTCTGTCGCTCAGTACAGCGCCACTACCGCCTTTCTGCTGCTACTGCAACCATGATGGCGGACTCGGTGCTGCGCTTTGACGCGGAGGGTCAGCTGGTTGAGTTCGACACGTGGCTCGTCGACCTCCGCCGTCACCTCACCGGTCAGCGGCAGGACGGCCACTCCCTGGCCGTCCACATCGACGGTACGCTCCCCTGCCCTGACCCCCTTGCTGCTCTACCCGCTGACCTCACGTCTGCTGACCGTGAGTCCGCTGCCGTTGCTGCGCTTGCCCGTGCTATCTGGTTGTCGCGTGACGCTGTCACACAGCTCGCGATTAGTCATGCCCTCCCCCTATCTGAGCGCCCCCACTTTAGGTCTGTCAGGACTGCGCAGGAGTTCCTAGAGGCAGTTGTCGCGCGCTATTCCACCCCGCCCTCTGCCTCCGTAGGTCGCCTGATCCTGCCTATGCTCTTTCCTGATCTTGCGTCTTTTCCCACTATCGCTGACCTCGCCGCCCACTTGCGCACGCTAGATGCGACCTGGCGCGCTGCCTGCACTGAGGCTCAGCTTCGTGTGTTTCAGCCCCCCATCTGCTCTACCCTCTACCAGCTTGCCACCCGCCTCCCTGACATCCTTGCTACAGCCCGCGATCATTTTCTTAGTCTCCACCCTGCTGACCTCACCCTCACTGACTTTGTCGACACCCTGTCTGCCATAGAGACTCGTCAGCGCTCTATCACCCAGTCTAGCGGTACCGTGCCGGTCACTATCTTTCAGGGTTGTGCCCCCGCTCAGTGCATGTACTCCGACGCATCTGCTACTGTCACTAAGACACCCTCTGCTGCAGAGACAGACGTCGCGGCTGCTGCAGCGCTGTTTCGTCCGGATAAGGGTCGCCGCCCCAAGGTTGGGCATGGCGGAGGTAGTGGAGGAGGGGGTGGAGGTGATGGTGGAGGTGGTTCGCCCGCATGTAGTACTGACGAGGGGGCTGGGGCGGGTGCCTTAGAGCAGCAGCCCCAGTAGTAGAAGCAGAAGCAGGCACCGCAACTGGACCGGCTGCAGCACCACCACCAGCAGCCGCAGCAGCGGCGGGTCGATCGTCTCCCGCCTGGGTGGCCTGGCGCTGGTGATGGATGTGGCCGCAGTGTTCGTGTGCACAGCGTGTCGTCGGGTGGTGGTCCGAGTGACGCGCGCTGCCAGTACCAGCTCCAGGCCGATCCTCACCGCGGCCTCGTGTGCGGTACGACCGGTCATACCCCCACTCGTTGTTTCAGTCGCCTAGACGACCTGTTTCGTCTCCGATTTGGCCCGGCACCAAACCTCCCCGACTGGCACAGTCTGCTCCGCCGTGGTGTTAGAATCTTTGATATGGACATGCATGAGATTAGCTCTGCTTTGAATGTCCTGTATGTCAATGACTCTAGTGTGACTGGTTCCTATTACCCCGTGTTGCCTAGTGTAGGTGTGCCCAGTGTGCCTAGTGAAGGCTCCCCTGCTGCGTCAGGCATAGGATCCCCTACTTTGTTTAACCTTTGCTCCACCCTAGCTCCTCCGACCCCTGCCGCCAGGGCCGCGTTCTCCTTCACCCTGGACTCCGGCGCTTCCTGGTGTTTCTTTCGGGACTCCACTACGCTTACGCTGCTTGCCGCTCCCGCTGCAGTTGCCTTGAAGACCCCTCCTCAGGTCCTGTAGTTGCCCGTAGTTCCACCACTCTTCCCTGTCCGGCGGTTCCTTCGGGCTACCTTACAGGCATGCACATCCCCTCGTTCTCTAGGAATCTAGTTGGTGTCGGCTGCCTCCAGGACCTTGGCGTCACTACTACGTTCCCTGGTCACGAGCGGTACGGTGTCTGTATCAAGGCCGCCACTGGTGCTCCCCTCACCACATTCCCCCGGGACCCAGTGTCTGGCCTGTTCATGCTGGTCACCGCGTCCCCCTCGGTTGGGACGTCTCCCCAGGTGTCTGCGTCTACCCAGGTTGCTGCGGCTTGCTTGTGTTGGTCGCTTACTCACCCCACGCTTCTGTGGCACCACCGTCTAGGTCACCCTGCCCAAACACGTTTTCGTCACATGTCTCAGCACGGTCTTGTCTTAGGTCTCCCTTAGTCATTTCCCGCGCTACCCTCCTCACCAGCACCGCCGTGCACGCCTTGCGTCGATGGCCGGCTCCGCTGTGCCCCTCACTCCTCCTCGTTCCCCCCCACTGCCGCACCGCTGCAGACCCTACACATGGACGTCTGGGGCCCCGCCCCCGTCCATGGGCCGCGTCGAGAGCGCTACTTCCTAGTGCTTGTCGACGACTACACGCGCTACACCACGATGAGTCCCTTTCCTCGCCTGTCCCCGCCCCAGTCTGCCCTCCCCTGTCGACGCCATTGCTGTCCCAGCCGCAGCCGCCTCCACCGCTGCTCCCGCAGCCGCAGCTGCCGTCGTCACCGGCGCTGGGGTTCGTGAGTTCTGGGGGTGCTGTGGTGCGTGCTGGAGCGGGTACTAGAGCGGGTTCCTGTTCTAGGGGTGCTGGCGTGGAGCTTCTCGGAGGGAGTCGTCCTGTTGCTGGAGGTTCTGGTGTTGGAGTCGGGCAGCAGCTGCAGCAGTCGCCGCCGGTGTCCGCTCTTCGCCTCCTCTGTCTTCCTTCCCCTGACCGCCTGCCGGTGCCTCCTCCGTCACCGCCGCCGTCTCCTCCGCCGGTCTACGGCCTCGTGTTTCCTCCCCCGGACTCCTCTGCGGCTCGTTTCCCTCCCCGTTCTCTTCTTGTGTCCCCTCCCCTCTCTCCTGACCCGACTCCTCCGTCTCACGTCCGGTCTCGCCATCCGTCTCGTACTCATCCTACCTCCCCTGTTCAGCGGTCTCACCCTATGTTGCTTCGCTCCCACGCGTCTCGTGCTCCTCCTCCGTCGTCGCTTGTTGTGGCCCCGCCCCCGTTCTCTGACCTCCTCCGTGCAGCGCGTCCCCTTGTTCCTCGTATCCTTGCCTCTCTTATTACGGACCCGTCCGTTCCTGTCTCGAGTCTGTCGGATCTTGTCGCTGCTGTCACTGACTTCGCCGCTACCAGCTGCCTTGACTACGCCACCGCTCTGGTCTCTGACCCTGCCTGCCCTCCGGCCGTAGGGGGTGTGGCTGCCCCTGGCAGTGACGACCTAGAGGACAGGCAGTTCGAGCTCGCTTTCCTTTCTGAGGCCGCTCCCCATCTCAGTTCCATGCTGCTAGTCCCTGAGGGTGACCCAGACGCCCTTAACATCCTGACCCCTCGCACCTACGCTGCGGCCACCTCGGGACCCTGGGCCTCTCAGTGGATAGCTGCCATGGAGCAAATGATGGCATCTTTGAGATCCACCGGTACCTTCGTCGATGCAGTTCCCCCACCTGAGGTGAACGTAGTCGATGGATGATGGCCCTTCAAGGTAAAGCGCCCTCCTAGAGAGCCGCATGTGTTCAAGGCGCGCTATGTTGCTAGAGGCTTCAGTCAGCGTGAGGGGGTGGACTTCTTTCAGACCTTCGCCCCGACCCTGAAGATGACTAATCTTTGGACAATACTACACATAGCAGCACAGCATGACTATGATCTGCACTCCCTCGAATCCTCCACAACTTTCCTCCAGGGCAGTCTATACGAGCAGGTCTACCTACGCCGCCATAGGGCTTCTCTGGTACCTTTCCCCCTGGTACCGAGTGGCTCCTCCAGTGCCCCGTCTACGGCTTGCACCAGGCGCCCCGTGAGTGGCACAACACGCTGCGTGCTACACTTGCTGACTTGCAGTTCTTCCCTTTGTTTGCAGACCCCTCGCTCTTCGTCCGTTCTGGCCAGACTCTATTCTACATCTTTGTCTACATAGATGACCTGGTCTTTGCTACTGCAGACAGAGACGCGCTGGCCTTCGTGAAGGCCGAGCTGCTGAGAAGATACACCTGCAATGACCTAGGAGAGTCTCGCCGATACCTTGGCCTGCAGATCTCCACGGACAGAGCAGCACGCACCATCACTCTCACACAGTTACACTTGGTGCGCCAAGTCCTTCAGAGGTTCGGCCTTCAGTTCTCTTCCGCACAGCCCACCCCTCTGCCAATAGACCACAGACTCTCTGCTCCTGTCCCAGAAGAGGCTCTAGAGCCTAGTGGTCCCTACGCAGAGCTGGTGGGTTGCCTCATGTACCTGATGACTTGCACTGATCCAAATCTTGCATACCCTCTCAGCATCCTGGCTCGTTTTGTGGCCACCGGCAGACACCGACCGCAGCACTGGTCGGTAGCTAAGAGGGTTTTGCGTAATCTAGCAAGTACATTGGTCATGGGGCTAGTGCTAGGAGGACGCAAACTAGTGGGCCTTACCGGGCACACAGACGCTTCTTGGGCAGACGACGCCGACACTCTCAGGTCCTCCCAGGGCTACTGTTTTAGCCTTCTCGTGCCATCTCGTGGAGGTCCACTCGCTCCTCGTCTATTGCCCAGTCTAACTGTGAGGCTGAGATCTACGTCTTAAAGACTTAGGTGGCTAGGTCCCTAAAGTTAGGACACTAGCTTAGCTAGGATACTAGGAAGGCCGCCATGGAATGGCGTGAGGAAAGTAGATCTAGGAACGTGAGGAGAAAAGTTGACGAGAAAGAAGAGAGACGATTAGGAAGAGAGAGCAGTACAAGGAGGGGATTGTACCCTCTACAGAAAGGTTCAGTAAAAACCTACCAAGCCTATATTAAATTATAACTTATATAATTTTAACACTACGCTGGTGCCATGGCGGCATAGGAGTTCCGCTGGCTGACCTTCTTGCTCACTGACCTAGGTGAGCGGCCTAGCTCTGCCGCGGTTTTGTACGCTGACAACAGGGCCATGATCCTCGTGTGTCAAGAGCTTAGACTCGAGGGTAGAGCGAAGCACATCCAGCTGCGGTACTTCCTACTGCGCGAGCTACAGCAGCGTCGCCAGGCCCGCGTAGTACACTTGGCCTCCGGTGCCAATACAGCTGATATCTTTACGAAGGTGCTTGCGCCTAAAGATCATCAGCGGCGCTGTGTACATCTAGGTCTCGTTCCTGTAGCCTCTCACTTGCTAGGACCTTGATTGTGTACTGACCTTTATATATATTACCCTGACTGGCCTTGTGGCCTCTTCCCAGTGGCTGGACTAGTAGTGCCGCCCTGGTCTTGCTCTTGCCTTGTTTGTACTCGTTTGACTGGTCTATAGACCCTTGCCTCAGAGGCTGGACTAGTAGTGCCACCCTGAGCTGCTTGTCTCTCACTAGACTCTGCCCTGTCCAGTCTAAGGGGTGTGTCAAACATATTTTTGTATGCTGTTATAGACTATACATGGGTGTGCCTTAGGGAGTACAACCCGCAGGTTATACTCCCTTGTATGTCATTGTTCTAGTCATTCGTTAACTTTGATACACCCAACCCAACCCAATCCAAGTGTATGCACATCATGATTAATCATATCCACGATCCAAGTGGCATGTAATATTGCTTGCACCATCACACTTCTGGTATTTGCCTATCTGTGCCTCCATACAAAAAGTCCATGGCATATTACTTTCCCTCCCCAACTGCCAGCCTACCTGAACCCTGTTTATCCTGAAGGTGTGTAAAGTAGCCAGACAGTACACTGCATTCGGCCATGTGTGCGTGACAACCATCGTCTCCCAACCCAACGTCACACGTCCGGCCTAGTGTGCGTGACAATGATACTGGCAGTTACGTACACATTCCGTCACTAAATTGTTTTCCTACTTATATAGAAGTTTTGTAGGGGTAATATTTGCCATGCTGGGTAACCCTCCTTATATCACGATTGGGGGAAATAATGTGCTTCTGGGTGCCACACGCATATCGCGTATATTCCGGTGGTTCTTTCCCTGGCGTTTCTCTCATCTTGACTAGTGCCTCGCGAGCACGCGTCGCTGCACGCATGAGTAATCTGCATTCCACCACCGCTGCCAGGCCGGTTAGTCATGCTTTCCAATTTAGTTACTCGCTTTAGGCCTTGTGGCTAACAATCCAGCTGATTTTACAACTACGTGCAACCGTAAACACGTGTAACGTAACCACGTGGGACGGTAACCGATTGTCCCAATGGAAGTACGCCACAAGTCGCGTCCCATAACGGGCGACCTCGAGCCAACCAGCCACAGCCACGTGTCGGATTTCCGCGTAATCCTCTCCGACCTGATCGAATGCATTCGCTATTCCATCGCCGCCGTCCATCCGCGAAAACGACCGTTACATTTCGCAGCTTTCGCTGCGTTTCTGAGCCTGCTAGTCGTCGCCACCATTCTGGTCCCCCTGGACCTGGAGATCGACGCGGAGGCATACTTCGGGCGGGCCGACAGCGGCGCGCTGGGCGACGAGGGCTTCGGGCGCGGGCTGCTGAACGAGACGCAGAAGGAGGGCAAGTTCGACGTCGAGTCCGCAGCCAGGTGGGACGGATGGGGGGGATGGGGGGGATGGGGGGGATGGGGGGGATGGGGGGGATGGGGGGATGGGGGGGATGGGGGGGATGGGGGGGATGGGGGGATGGGGGGGATGGGGGGATGGGGGGGATGGGGGGATGGGGGGGATGGGGATGAGGGGGATGGGGGGGATGGGGGATTGTGAGAGACATTGCAGTGAGTCTGGAGGGTGCTGCTGGTGCATCGAGGGCGGAGGCGGGCAGGGGGGTGCAGGAAAATGGTGCAGTGGGGTGGGGTGGGGTCGGGAGTGGTGAGAGCGGAGGAAGGGGTTTGTTTGAGGTGTGGGCAGGGGGGACGGGGGAGTGTTGAGGCGGCGGGCGGGGCTGGGGGGATGCGGTAATGAAGGGATGATGCGAGGGCGGGGTGGTAGGTGGCACGCACAGACGGGTGTGCCTCGCCTCGCCATGCTGCCCGGGTGAAGGGCGAGAGGTCAGGCCTGGCAGGATGCTGGGGGGGGGAGTGCGGCAGGAGAGAGAAACAAGGGAATGCGGCAGGAGAGAGAAACAAGGGAATGCGGCAGGAGAGAGAAACAAGGGAATGCGGCAGGAGAGATGGTGGTGGTAGAATGCGGCAGGCAGGGGAGGAAGAGATGGTGGTGGTAGTATTGGCATGTGTAACATTGTTGGTCGTGCAATCATGCCATTCCTCACCTCACTGCCTTCACATCTACTGCCTCGCCCTTCCATTCTGCTGCTACACCTGTCACCTCCCCACCATGCACCACCATGCACCACCGTGCACCACCATGCACCACCATGCACCACCGTGCACCACCATGCACCACCATGCACCACCGTGCACCACCGTGTGTGTGTCCACCATGCACCCACCACCACACACCCACCATGCGCCTGTCACGCCTCCAGGCTGTGGGAGCGGTATGTGGGGTGTGCATCGTTCCGCAACCGCCACCGCCACCTCATCGACCGCTTCAAGAGCCCCCTTACATGGCCCTCCAACCCCTCGCTGCAGGTATGGCCCTCCAATCCAACCCCGCTCTAGGCACGCCGCTGTTGCTTGCGTCCAGCGTGTTGAATCCGTGGTGCCACCGTCGTTCCTTCCCAGATGACACCTCCATCGCCTTCCATGCTGCAAGAGCCAAGCATTCTGCAGCAAGCACACAACCCCCCCATCCCATATGCACACACCTCCCCATCCCATACGCACACAACCCCCCCATCCCATATGCACACACCCCCCCCCCATCCCGTACACACAAGCGCTGCTTCCTTTCCTTCTCACGCCCAACAGGACCCCTCCCAGCCGTCCTGCAGCCGAATGAGATTGCGCCACGTCACCGTCTTCGTGGTCCCCACCAATTCCTCGGGGTTCGATGCGGGCAGCATTGAGGGGTATTACTTCTGCCCGAGGTGCCGGTTGACATGCCAGGTGGGCCCGTCAGTCGGAACGTTTTTCCGCCGATTGTTTAGTTTGAAGCTTGGGAATTGTAAAAAGGAGTGTCAGGCTGGCTGTGCCCCCTTCTTCCAGCAGGCCAGCCTCTCTCTCCACCCTGCTGTCGCCCGCCCACCCGGCCACCCGCCTCTTCCCAAACCTTGTGTGTGTGAACCCATTCGTTCCCCCTTTCCTCCGCCTCCTGCACTTCCTTCTCAACTGCCGCTTTCCTGCTTCTCTGCCCCCCACCCTCTTGCAGCCCCCTGCCATTGGCGGTCCACCTTGACTCTCACCACCCCCCCGAGCCCATCTACCATCCCTCAATGCCCATCCCCCCACGCCCGTCCACCACCCCCTGCACCCATCCCCCCACGCCCGTCCACCACCCCCTGCACCCATCCCCCCACGCCCGTCCACCACCCCCTGCACCCACCCCCCCACGCCCGTCCACCACCCTCTGCACCCATCCCCCCACGGCCGTCCACCACCCCCTGCACCCATCCCCCCCGCGCCCATCTTCCACCCCCCGTGCCCATCTTCCACCCCCCCGCCCCCATCTCCGTCTTCCATGCCCATCCGGCGGTGCGCGTGTACGTGTGTACGTGTGTACGTCTACGTTGGAATAAACGCGCTTGGCGTTTTAAACTCTAGCTTTTAAACGCAAAACTCTTGGCCAGGAGGGGAGCAAACGCTAGGAAAACGCTGGCCTGGGTAGGGTTAAAAGAGTTTCGGGCAGGGCAAGAAAAAGGGCTTCTGGGTGGGGGGGAAGGGGAAAGGAAACGAAGGGCATGAAGGGCACCTTCATCCACCACCCCCATTAATAAAATATTAAAAGTTTCAGGGTACATTCACAAGTCAACCTAACATCCATCCATCACATCACACACACCTACCCCCTCTCCCATGCAACACAACCAGGATGCATCTTCCCTACAATCAGCCGCCGCGAGTAGTACAATTCATGCCCCCCACACCATGCTGCAGCTACCCTAACACCAGCCTCCCCTGCCACCCCTGCCAACTCTTCCTCCCCAGCACGTTGCAAACTGGTTTCAAAATTTCGAAATTTTGAATTTTTTTTTGCGGGCAGCCCGCTCTTGCGTTTGCGCGTTTGCCTGGCGTTTGGGCGTTTGCGTTCGAGCGCAAAACGCTTGGCCGTTCGAGCGTTTTTTCCAACGTAGGTGAACGTGTGTACGTATGTACGTGTGTGGCAGATCACGTTCAGCGAGCCCCTGGCATCGCATGCCGACTCCACGCTCCACGTCGCCCCCGACACGCCCCCGCCAGGCAGGCAGGTCAGCTCACCTGCCATGGTCCGCTGACGTGGCGTGGACAGGTGAGGTAGCATGGAAGGGTAGGCGGGCAGGAGAGAGGGCTGTCGTTCAGCCGTTCAGCACGCCATCCACCAATCGCCATGGCCTGCTGCATCGCTCGCATACCCCTTTCCTCCATCGCATACCCCTTCTTTTTCCTTATTACAAGCAAGCGGGTTTGCTGCAACCATCTTGTTCAAACGCGTCTCTCTGTAATGCCATCCACCAATCGCCATGGCCTCATGTGCAAGCAATGGCGACATGACCAGCTGCTGCCACGCACCGAGCATGTCCTCGGAATGGGATCCTCTTGAAGCGACCCCCTGCAGCTGTTCTAGACATGGGCCGGGCGGCAGGGGCAGCCTGGAGTGCCTTCTTTGCTGTACCTCCCACTGCCTGCCTCCCACTGCGTGCCTCTCACTGCCTGCCTCCTCTGCCTTGCCTCCCACTGCCTGCCTCCCACTGCGTGCCTCCCACTGCCTGCTTCCCACTGCCTGCCTCCCACTGCATACCTTCCACTGCCTGCCTCCCACTGCATGCCTCCCACTGCCTGCCTCCCACTGCCTGCCTCCCACTGCATGCCTCCCACTGCGTGCCTCCCACTGCATGCCTCCCACTGTGTGCCTCCCACTGCATGCCTTCCACTGCCTGCCTCCCACTGCATGCCTCCCACTGCCTGCCTCCCACTGCATACCTCCCACTGCCTGCCTCCCACTGCATACCTTCCACTGCCTGCCTCCCACTGCATGCCTCCCACTGCCTGCCTCCCACTTCATGCCTCCCACTGCCTGCCTCCCACTGCCTGCCTCCCACTGCGTGCCTCCCACTGCCTGCCTCCCACTGCATGCCTTCCACAGCCTGCCTCCAACTGCATGCCTCCCACTGCCTGCCTCCCACTGCATGCCTCCCACTGCCTGCCTCCCACTGCATGCCTTCCACTGCATGCCTCCCACTGCATGCCTCCCACTGCCTGTCTCTCCCCAACGACGCTCTCACATTCGCCCTGGCAGGTGGGCGACCCACTTCAGGTGTATCTGGACATGGGGCGGGCGGCGGGGGCGGCAGGGGGCGACAGGGCGGGGGTGTGGGACGTGGCGGTGTGGTGGGGGCGGCAGGCGGACGTGCAGCTCACCTTCGCACGCTTCTCCGACGCCATGCCGCACGGCCGCCAGCACGGCATCCAGCCAAGGAAGTTCCAGGTGCGTGTTGGGACGCGCTTGCTGCTGTCGCTGTGCGGTATCATGCTAGTGTGGCACTTGAGGTGCCTTGAAAGGCTTCACCGACGCCATGCCGCACAGCATCCAGCCCAGGAAGATCCAGGTGCGTCTTGCTGCTGCCTGCTCCTGCTTGCTGCTGCCCCTGTGTGTGCGGTATCACGCTAGGCCGTCAGGGCAGCGTGTGAGGAGCTAAAAGGCTTCTCCGACTCCATGCCGCACAGCATCCAGCACAGGGAGTTCCAGGTGCCTGTGGCTGGCCTTGTGCTTGCCGCTGTTGCCATGGGCATTGGGCATTTGGCAGAGAACGTTCCGGGGTTGATCGTGCAAGCGAGGCTGGCTTGTGAGTGCACTAGAATGGCTTCTACCACTTCACGCCGCATGGCACGCAGCACAAAACCCAGTAGATTTGCGTTAAAGCCAATGGCCCAGATGCCAAGCCATGGGCTCCAAAGCCGTGCTCTTGAACGAGGGGGGGAGAGGGGGGGGGGAGGTATTTGAGTGTGGGGGGTAAGTTTGCTCCCCCTAGTCCCCAGGCTCATGCATTTTGTGGAAGTTTGAGCTGGAGAAATCCAAGAGCTTCAAGTTAGCCCTCCCTGCGTGCGTGCGTGTGTGCAGGACACGCTGGTGTACTGGCACGAGGACGACTGCCAGGACCCCGCCCTGCTCGCTCCAGGCACACAGGTATGCAGAGCGGTGCAGTGTGATGCCAGAGCTCCATGCAGGTGGTTGCGTGTTCTGGAAGAGTGCTGTCATCACGCGCGGTTCATCTGAGAGTGGCACCAGCGCCGCTGCTCGCACTCGCACCACAGGCCTGGCCCTCAGAGGCTCGAGCGTCTATTGCTGTCTCTGTTCTGCACCCTGCACATATCCGCTCGCCCTGCACCCCGCACATATTCACGTGCACAGCTGCGTGGGCGTGCCGCCTGTTTCATTTCATCAGGTGCTGGTGCTGGTGCTGGTGCTGGTGCTGGTGCTGGTGCTGGTGCTGGTGCTGGCGCTGGCGCTGGCGCTGGCGCTGGCGCTGGCGCTGGCGCTGGCGCTGGCGCTGGCGCTGGCGCTGGTGCTGGTGCTGGTGCTGGTGCTGGTGCTGGCGCTGGTGCTGGCGCTGGCGCTGGTGCTGGTGCTGGTGCTGGTGCTGGTGCTGGTGCTGGTGCTGGTGCTGGTGCTGACCCCCATGCTTGCTGCCGCAATGACCGCTTGTGTGGCTCTCTCCATTCAGCGTAGCACACACCTGCGCTGTGAACCTTTAGCTCCAAAGCCGTACGAACCATGGCTGGCCATCCATGGGCCCTATGTCCGTGCAGGTGGCGGCGCACATCCCGACGCACAGCTTTGGGCAGTGCGGCAACAACTTCAACAACTCCAACGAGGACGTCTTCTTCAACGACACGTGCCCCTCCACGTAAGCCACACTGACACCTGCCCCTCCACGTAAGCCTCACTGACACCTGCCCCTCCACGGTAACTTTTTCTTGGCAGTTGCGGGCCAATCCTTGTTCTGTATTCCTTTCATCCTTCCCTCCTTCCCAATAACTTGCCGCTATCTCCTCCCTTCACCAGTGCAGCACACGCGCAGCACGAGCAGAAGTCGCACTGCCTCTCCTCCAACTACAAGTTTGAATTGGTTGTCGATGATCCCCGCCTCATGGGCTTCGTTTCTTGGAAGCTTCTCCGCACACTAGAAGCAGGTGGGACTAATGTCACACATACCACGTGCCTTGATTGGGGTATGACGAGAAGCGGCCAACTCGCTTTTGGAATCAAACAAGAGATGTATTCATTGGCGCAGCTGGGCTCTACAGCATTCCAGGCCAAACGGCATGGCAGCCACGCACTTCCTCACTGCAGCCGACCACTCAGCACGCCACAGTGGTCCCTACCCCCATGTCCCCTCTCACCTGTTGCTGCAGGCACCTTGCCCATCTGCCACCATGTGACAATGCCGCAGCCTCGCTTCCCTCTCCGCCCTCCCCTGGGAAAGCACAGCACCCTCCTTCGACGCACACCATACGTGGCCAACTCTTGCCATCAACGCTCCATCCTCAATGCTTCCCGCTTTTGCCAGCACAACACCACCTACAATTTCTCACCCCATCCCTCCACGTCTTACCCCCTGCATCCCCCACCTTCCCCCCTCCTCCCCCCTCTAGGCACGGTGCCCATCTACTACGGCGCGCCAGATGTGCACAACTTCATGCCGCCCGGCTCGTTCATCGATGGCAGGAAGCTTCCGACCCCCGCTGAGCTGCTGGGCGCCCTGCATGAGCTGCACTTGGATCCCCGTGAGTCTGCTGGAACTCCAGTTCGGCATCATTGAGCCCACACGTGGCGTGAGCTGCACATGTACCCCTGTGAGCGTGGCATGAGCTGCACATGCACCCCTGTGAGTGTGGCATGAGCTGCACATGCACCCCTGTGAGTGTGACATGAGCTGCACATGCACCCCTGTGAGTGTGACATGAGCTGCACATGCACCCCTGTGAGTGTGACATGAGCTGCACATGCACCCCTGTGAGTGTGGCATGAGCTGCACATGCACCCCCTGCGAGGGACCATGGATTCGAGAGGGGGGGTTGGAAGGGAAGTATTGCGAAACAGCGGGGAGTGTAGAAAGGTAGGTGAAAAGATTCCGTTGTCACACTGAAGCACATGGCACTTTTGATGTGTCCTTGTGGATATCTCTGCTACCCTCTTTGCCTCTCATTGTGGGCTTTTTCCGTCCCAGCATCAACCATGGCCTCTACTCCTGCCACCGTTGCAGATATTGCACAGCCAGCATTCGCCATCATTCTCTTGGTTGATTGCATTCGCCTCCGCCTTCGCCTTCACTCTCTTCTCCCCCCCAGTGAAGTACATGGAGTTCTTTGCCTGGCGCACGTGCGGGGTGTTGGGGCACTACGCCCACGTGGACGCGCTGGGCTTCCGCTCTCTGCCGTGCCGCCTCTGTGAAGCCGTCAGTTCAAGAGGGGGCAGGCTCTTCAACCGACACGAGTGGTAGCTATCGGTGCATGCATAGCAGGGCCTCAGATTCGTTTTGGGGCTCGCTGATCGCTCAGCCCCCCCCCCCCCCCCCCCCCTTACCTCACTGTTTTTTCAGGCCTCGCAAAATAACTTACGCTGATCATTCAGGGTGTCGTAAAAAAATTGCGCTTAATAAACAGAGCTACCTACAAAAAAATATAAAATTTTAAAGTGTTCACACTTTCAAAATTGTGTATTGTGAATGCGAAGCTGCTTGTAACGCAATCTAAGGCATCGTTGAAGCGCGCTATTCGCCCTTCTCCAACCATATAATGGGGTTGGAGGTCATTCTTCCTCCACCCACGTTTTTCATTTTTCCCAGCTCAAGTTCAATTCCCGCCCACCCAACCCGCTTCGTCTACTCTCTTCAACATGCACCGCTTCGGTGGATCATCCTCGGCATAGACATGTCCTAGTGTAGACAGTTTCGAAAGTTTATGCTAATAGATGAATATATTGGAACTCTTTGTACTTGATGCCAGTGGAATGAGAACGATGCCATTTGCACTACAAGTAGCGAGCTTTCTCAATCACGCTGTTCAACTACATGCCCATTATTACCATCTTTTCTAAAAACAACGATGAATATCAAATGACGTTACGGGTGTTAGAATACAAGAATGACTAGAACAAGAGAGTACACGGAAGATATAGAGTTGGAGTTGTACTCTCTAAGAACACAAGTCTATCTAGCCTATAAGTTCTACATATAACCATATGCATAAGTTGACACACCCCCTAGGCTAGATAAGGGGCAGTGCAGAGTAAGGAACACGCAGATCAGGGTGGCGTTACTAGTCCAACCTCCGAGACTAGGGCCCGAAGACCGGTCAGCAAGAGTACAAACAAGACCAGAGCAAACCAGGGCGGCACTACTAGTCCGACCGCTGGAAGAGAAGCCACAAGGCCAGTCTGGAAGGTATATAGTATATATAGAGGAGTACACAATCAAGAACCTAGCAAGTGAGAGTCTACACGAACTAGACCAAGCTACAAACAGTGCCGCTGGTGATCTTTCGGCGCAAGCGTCTTAGTAAAGATATCAGCTGTGTTGGCACCGGAGGCCTAGTGTACTACGCGGGCCTGGCGACGCTGCTGTAGCTCGCGCAGGAGGAAGTATCGCAACTGGATGTGCTTCGCTCTGCCCTCAAGTCGAGGCTCCTGACACAGGAGGATCATGGCCCTGTTGACAGCATACATAACTGGGGCAGAGCTAGGCCGCTCACCTAAGTCAGCGAGTAAGAAGGTCAGCCAGCGGAGCTCCTGTGCCGCCATGGGCATTGCTCGATCTCCGCCGTCACCTGACAGGTCCGCGCTGAGATGGGCACTCCCTGGCTATGCATGTTGATGGCTTGCTTCCCCGCCCCTCCACGCCAGATCCCCTCCCTGCTGACCCCACCACTACTGAGAGTGAGGCCTTTGCTGCTTGCTCGCGCTGTTTGGGAATCCCGCGATGCTGTAGCGCAGCTAGCCATTAGTCATGCGCTTCCTCTGTCTGAGCGTCCGCGCTTCACTGCTGTCGCGAACGCCAAGGATTTCCTAGATGCCGTAGTTGCGCGCTACTCCACACCAGCCTCTACCTCCGCTGGCCGCTTGATCCTCCCCATGCTCTTCCCCGATCTACCTTGCTTTCCCCACTGTCGCTGACCTTGCTACTCACCTCCGTGCACTAGAGACTTGCTACCTTGCTGATAGCACTACCGCCCAGCTCACTGCCTTCCCTCCGCCGTTCTACGCTACCCTGTACCTTATTGCCATGCGCCTGCCTGACCGCTTAGCCACTGCCCGCGGCCACTTCCTTAGCCAGCACCATGGTGACCTCACCCTGACCGCCTTTGTCACTGCCCTTTCTGAGATCGAGACTCGCCAACGCGCTATCACTCAGTCGAGCAGTGTTGCGGCAGTCCCTATCTTTCAGCGCTGTGCTCCCTCCCAGTGCACGTATGCTGGCATTTCCGCTGCAGCGGTGGCCTTCCCGCAGCAGCAGCGACAGCGTCCGGGCCGTTGCGGCCCCAAGGGAGGGCGTGGTGGTGGTGGTGGTGGCGGAGACAATGGTTCTGACGAGGGGGCTAGGGCAGGTGTCCAAGAGCAGCAGCATCCGCAGCAGACGCAACAGCAGCCGCAGCAGCAGCAGCAGCAGCAGCAGCAGCAGCAGTCGCAACAGCAGCCGCAGCAGCAGCCATGGGCCCGCCTCCCGCCGGGGTGGCCAGGAGCCTCTAAAGGTGGTGGCCGCGGTGGCGGTCCTCGCAGCTCGGCATCTATCGGCAGCTTCGGTGCTGTGGCCTGCCAATACCAGCTCCAGACCGGGCCCCTCTGTGGCATTGTGCCGCTGCCCGCACCCGACCTCCCGCTACTTCCGCCACCTCGATGACCTCTTTCGTCGCCGCTTTGGCTCGGCCCTGGACCTTCTTGACTGGCCAAGTCTGCTGCGCCACGGTGTGCCTATTTTTGACTTAGACATGGATCATATTAGTTCTGCTTTGCATTCTCTGAATGCTGACGCTTCTAGTGTGTCCGGATCTTATTACCCTGTGTTCTATAACTTAGGCGTAGCACCTGTGTGTAGTACAGACACCCCTGCTGCATCAGACGTAGGACCGTTTGCTTTATCTAGCCTAGGCTCTACACTTGCTCCTCCTTCGTCTGCCACTACCACTTCGCTGTCCTTCACACTTGACTCCGGTGCGTCTGCTTGCTTCTTCTGCGACCACGCTGCGCTTATGCCGCTTGCCGCACTTGCCAATGTGGCATTTGCTGACCCCTCGTCTGGTCCTGTAGTTGCTCGCAGCTACATTACCCTTCCCTGTCCAGCGATTCCCTCGGGTTCCCTTACAGGCCTGCACACCCCCTCGTTCTCCCGGAACTTAGTTGGTGCCGGCGCCACCACTACATTCGAGTGGTACAGAGTCTGTACCGAGGCCGCCTTAGGTTCCCCTCTTGCGATGTTCCCCCGGGACCCGGTGTCTGGCTTGTTTATGCAGGACACTGCTTCCCCCCCAAGTGGACCGTCCTCCCTGAGTCCTGCGTCTACCCAGGTCGCCGCGCCTGCACTGTCCCCTGTGTCTTCCTCGGTTTTCCCCTTGACTCGTCTGACTTGAACTTTTACCACCCGCCGTTCCACCGCTTCTTTCACTCTCGTGACACCACTTTCGACGAGTCTATCTCCTTTTACCACCTCTTTCCCTACCGAGGTCTCTCGGTTTCCCCACCCATGTTTCTGGTTCCCACTCCCCCGGTAGCCCCCGCTCACCTCCCTCCCTGTCCTGCTCCGTCTGGTGTGTCTCACGTCACTCCCCTCCCGTCGGTTGTCCCGATCGAGGAGTCGGCTGACTCTGGTGGCCCTGCGGCAAAGTTCTCGCCGCCTGTCTCTCCCCCGGTGTCTCCTCCTCCGCTGTCGCAGTCGTCGCCGCAGCAGCCGCCGCCGCCGCCGTCGCAGCAACAGCAGCCATTCGTGGATTTTGGGGGTGCTGGCATTGAGGAGGGTGCTAGTCCTGGGGTTCCTTTCGTGGCCTGTCCCGGCAGGCTCAGGGGTGGCACCAGTGTTGGAGAGTGTTCTCACTCTGGGGCTGCTTGTTCCGGGGGTGCGGAGTGGAGTGTTCCGGAGGTGGCCGTGGTGCAACTGGCGGTCCAGGAGTCAGCGTTGATCAGCAGCAGTAGCAATCGCCACCAGTGTCCGCCCTTTGCTTGCTCGGCCTTCCCTCCCCTGACCGCTCACCTATGCCTCCCCCGCCGCCTCCTCCCCTTCCTGTCCACGGTCCTGTGTTTCCTCCGCCGGACTCGTCCCCGGCTCGTTTCTCACCTCGTTCCCCACCTGTTACTCCTCCTTTGTCTCCTGACACGGCGCCTCCGTCTCACGTCTGATCACGCCGCCCCTCTCGTGCTCGTCCTGTCTCCCCTGTTCAGCGTTCTCACCCTATGTTGCTTTGTTCCCACGCGTCTCGTCCTCCCCTCCTGCCTTCGCCTCCTCCGTCGTCACTCGCTGTCGCGCCTCCCCCTCTTTCTGACTAACTTCGTGCTGCTCGTCCTATTGTTCCTCGGGTCATTGCCTCCCTCGTTACCGACCCGTTTGTTCCTGTCTCGAGTCTTGACGCTCTTGTCGCTGCTGTCGCTAACTTCGCCTCTACCCGCTGCCTTGACTACGCGACCACTCTGGTCTCTGGCCCTGTCCATCCTCCGTCCGTCGGGGGTGCTCCTGCCCTTGGCAATGACGTCCTAGAGGACAGGCAGTACAAGCTTGCTTTCCTGCCCGAGGCTGCTCCCCATCTCTGTTCCATGCTGCAAGTTCCTGAGGGTGACCCAGACGCCTTTGACATCCCGACCCCTCGCACCTACGCTGAGGCGACCTCGGGACCCTGGGCCTCTCAGTGGATAGCTGCCATGGAGCAGGAGATGGCATCTTGGAGGTCCACCGGCACCTACGTCCCCTCGCACTTCGTTCGTGCTGGCCAGACTCCGTTCTACATCCTTGTTTTACGCAGACGACCTGGTCTTCGCTACTGCAGACAGAGACGCCCTGGCCTCCGTGAAGGCCGAGCTGCTGAGGAGACATACCTGCACTGACCTAGGAGCGCTGCGCCGCTGCCTTGGCCTACAAATCTCCAGGGACAGAGTAGCGCGCACCATCATTCTCACACAGTCACACTTGGTGCGCCAGGTCCTTCAGCTGTTCGGTCTTCAGTTCTCCTCCGCACAGCCCACACCTCTGCCGGTAGACCACAGGCTCTCGGCTCTAGTTTCTGAGGCGTCCGTAGAGCCCAGTGGTCCTTACACAGAGCTGGTGGGTTGCCTCATATACCTGATGACTTGCATACCCTCTCAGCATCATGGCTCACTTTGTGGCCACCGGCAGACACCGACCACAACACTGGTAGACCGCTAAGAGGGTTTTGCGTTATCTAGCGAGTCATCGGGCATGGGGCTAGTGCTGGGAGGACGCTGGCCAATGGTCCTTACTGGGCACACGGACGCTTCTAGGGCAGACGACGCTGAGACCCTCAGGTCCTCCCAGGGTTACTGCTTTAGCCTTGGTTCAGGTGCCATCTCATGGAGGTCCACTTGCTCCTCGTCTGTTGCCCAGTCTAACTGTGAGGCTGAGAGGACTCCCCGGCGAGGAGAGCAGGCAGAATGCCGAGGAGGGGCCCGAGGCACGCA